GCCTCGTTTACAAATCTGTTCGAGTTCCGCTTTTGGTACGTTACAAAGACCATCGGACAAGAATATAATCAAATTCACTCTGCAAAATAACCTTAGTTAGTAGTATCGAACTATTGTTCTAGACTGTTAAATAATTCTTACCTGGCCTGTTTCTTGTATCTCTGAATAAGGCTTCCAGCCGTATTAATAGCTTTAACATAATCAGTACCACCGTTGGCCCTATGGTTACATAGTTCATCAATTAAACTATCGTTGTAGTCAAATTTTCGGTTCTGCATGACTATATTCGGTTCATTGTCAAACAGTACAAATGACATTATATCGTCATCAATCTGATTTGTCCCGTTTATTCCACATCGTGTCCCGACAAATTGCTTCACGCATTCATAGACCGCACCAAGCCGATTATTATGGTTTTGAATAATTTTGTGAGATCCGGTTTTATCGTCAGGCGTTATATCGGTGGAAGACATCGACCCAGATTTATCGATAACGAAGACGATATGATATGAACCATAATGCGAACACTCAAATTGATGACCGTCCTTCGAGATATGACCATTCGCCACCTGTGTGTTAGGGTCAACAGGATCATGAAATAATGGCAATGTGCAGTAGTATTTCTCCTTGTTAGCATGCACATCGCTGCCACAAAGATGTACACAACTTGCAAAGAGTTTCTGTTCGTCGACTGACTCATAGGGATCTACCAAACGTTGAAGTCAGTACTAATAAGTTGCAAGGCTAAACACGAGATCACCACAAACTGAACTCTACCTCGGAAACCTGATCGACTCCAATATAGACGATGTGAAATATAGTCTTTGGCCATTTCTGGGTATGGTTCAATTTTATCTGAAAACACAGCGACATGTTCAAAAACTGAAAATATTACAACCAAGTCAAATTATGAGCCATGCAACTACCTTTAATGTGCTCAATTTGATCCTTCCGCTTCGCTAATTCCGAAGCTTTACATGTCACTTCGTCGGGACAATAATCGACATGAAGATGACGATCGGCATCTTTGCACAGCTGTCGCATAAATAAACAATTAATTAAGAATGCATTACGCATCTCGTTAGGCAGTAGCACTATTCACTTACCATGTCGCAATATACAGGGTTCCCTGAATCCCCACTTTTAAACGTATGTTTCTTATAACTGATATTTTTAGTAATTCCAACCCAAACCATTGGCTTCATGCTACCGTGAGCAGTCTCATGTGGTCCATGGTGTCCATATTTGTTATTACACTAACGGCACAATACTGTCATTAGTATTATTATCATTACTGTGCGTCCTTGAGTGTCGTTTATTGATCTGTGAACTTACATAAAATTCGCAGTAAGGACATCGTTTCGTACACCTATGGTCATCCTTACATTCGTGAAAACCATCGTGACTTAGTCTGTTTGGCGGAATCATAAGATCACAATCGAGCCTCCTTTCTTCTTGTGAGCGCTTGATAAATATTGTTGCAAGAACCGGTTAATCACGTCATTAAAGATCAGTAAAAGAAAGGAAAAAGTTACCTCTTCGTAAGGAAACTCTCCAAAACTATTTTTGTATGTTTTCGTTTCCCTTGTAGTGTCCACCTTACAGATTCCTAACTTCTCACATTTATTATTACATGGATGTTCGTGGCTAATGAATAGCAACGTTATATAAGCTTTCACATATTAATAATATCAATGTGAATCAAGTTAGTTATCTTGGTGACTTACCCACACATATGATCTTCCCGCGAGCCTGCTTCAAGAGCATGGAGGTGATCAAGACTCTGACACAGTCTTTTGCACCCGTCCATACAACAGACAATGGGACAACCTCGAGATTCGCATTTATGTCGTTCATGATCTTCTTCACAAGGAGTCACACAAAGTCCCGTACATTTATATAACTTTGAAGCTGATAAAGAACATTTTTTACCGCAGAAATGTTGTTTTGCCTGACATAAATGATCGCCTTCATGGCTATCTTCTCCTGCACATCTTTTAAGGCAACCCTTCTTTGCACTGTACTTGCATTCATGAGTGCAAGTGTGATTTAATATACAAACGTGTTTTCCTGCATGTCCAGCGGGATGATGGCATAGTGGTAATTCATTGTCTTCAGCATGATCCTCCACAAAGTCGCAAGGTGAATGGCATTTATGGTCTGTCATACAATCATGTTCTGAATCTTGATGTTTGTTCTTTAAACATGGTAAAGTACATCCATTATTGTGACAGGCTTTCTCACATAAAGTCCAACGTTGTTTGAGTTGAATTTGATTATATTCTTGTCCGATGGTCTTTGTAACGTACCAAAAGCGGAACTCGAACAGATTTGTAAACGAGGC